GATGCTTACGATTCTGGATCAGAAAAGAAAATTTCAAAAAGATGCGCTGAGGTTGTGGAAGCTGCTATAAAAGAGTGTAAAGAAAAGTACAATGCAAAGGTTTTCGCCGTGATCACGAATAATGAGAATAAAATGTCCAAAATGTGGCAGATTTTAAGAGAAAAAAACCAGTTGATTGCGTACGGATGCTCGACACATCTTTTAAATTTAGTGGAGAAAGATGTAACGCCTCAGACTATACTGAAGCAAGTTATTAAGATTCAAAAATATTTTCGTAATGTACATGGATGGTTCAAGGAAAAAAATGGTCTTATACCACAAATTCTTAACGAAACTAGGTGGAATTCGCATCCAGAATGCGTCAAGACCTTCCCCGCAAATCATCATAAATATAGAGAAATTGCTCTGGAATAAGACAATGAATTTGATGATTCGATTGCAAATATTTTAAATAACATGGGAATTTACAACAAATCGATATATTTAGGAAAACAACTATCGATAGTTGCCTCAGCATTAAATGTACTGCAGCAAGAGTCAACATCTATATCGAAGGCAATCGAAGTGTGGTCTAACTTACTAAACGAAGAAGATTTGAAATTATATAAAAGTTTTTTTCAGAAACGATTTGATCAAGCGATCACAACATTGATTCATCTATTAGCACACATGATGGATCCGGAATTTAACGGACAACATTTAAGTATTGAATAAGAGAATATCGCCGAAGAATGGATATCTAACAATTATCCTGAATATCTTCCAGGCGTAATGACTTTTAAAATTAAAGATGAATTAACGATGAATTTTTTCCGAAGGCGATGTGGCAAGAAAATGTCATTGACAGGTTTTCATCTTCGAAATGGTGAAAAATCATGGAGAAAAAAACCGAGAAATCCATTAACTACCAAGTGGATTTTGCGATTTCTTTTCAAATTTGCTATCTTGTCCTGCATCTTCGGCATCGATTGAATGATTTTTTTCAATCTTTGGACTTGTATGGTCGAAATTACGAAATCGACTTGGAGTAGAAAAAGCTACGAAGCTAGTAAAAGTTTACCGTTTTTTGCGATCTAATGATGATATAAATCTTGATTGGAATTAAAATACAAAATACATTTTTATTCAAAACAAATTTAAATTTAGTTTTTATTATGTGTCCTTTTTTTATTTTATTTATAATTCATTTCTAATATTAAATTATTTTTATTTATATTAATTTATATTAAATGATTTATTTACATTATTATTAAATTTTAATTAGACTTTCTGGTGGATTTTTTAGGTGGGTTTTTTAAGTGGGTTTTTTTTAGTAGATCAACCCTGCCGCAAAACAAAAATGCAATGCATCGTGCAGACGGACTATGTGTGATCGTCATCGCATGTATTTGTACACTGAATGTAGATTGCAGTAAAATTTATAAATTTTTAATAATTCCTCGGAAAAAAAAACAATATAAAACGATTTTCTTTCATTTTGTAGAATAAAAATAGAATGTTTAAATATGAAAACCTCTATTTTTTCAATTCCCAAAATAACCTACATTCAATATACAAAATAAATACCATTTATCTGAAACCAACTTACAAACTAATTTTTTTTTCAAAGTATCATATCTGAACAACAATTCTGTAAATTTTTAACTTTTAACATTGAATTTTTTAAAAATTATAATTTTTCAAAGATTTTACTCGTTTTTTCTCTATTCATTGAACTCAAGAAATTTTTTCACAAAAACAGTAATAAAAAACTATTTAATCAAAAACTGTTTGAATGTAGGCATTCTACAGATCTTGAAATTGACCTATAATTTTTTTCATATTGATTGGATTTTTTAAATGAGAATGACAGTCGTTTAAAAATTGCTCTGTGTGAGCCACCCAAACGTATCAAAAATGATCGAAAAAAGAGGTCAACGAAGAGTTAATTCAAATTTAAAATGTAAATTTAACTTATGAAATAAAACTTATGAAAATATCATTATATCTATACACATTTAATGTAATGTAAATCTAGTATTTTTTTCTTTTTACGCAATCAACACTCGCATTAACTCTTACACTTTCTCTTTTAAATCATATAAAATTATTTATTAGGTGTTGGAATTAATTCGTAGCGTTTTACAAGTGATGGGAAGTACTTTCATTAATGTATTTTTTAATGCTCATGTGAAATAAATAACATTCTTTCATTAAAAAACGCTACGAATTAATTCCAACACCTAATAATTTGAACGAGATAACGAAGAAGCGGCTTCCTTATACACATATGTACATAATGAAAATGTCGAGATTTAGTCAAATATTTCATCAATCAGTAATCGGATAGTTATTAAGTAATAAGGTTGCTATGTTGAAAAGTAACAATTAAATTTTTTATGTGTATATGACTTTGTCGTTGATCAATTTCCGAATTTGTCTTAATACTGTCTTTCGAAAAAACATTTAAAATTTCTACCACGTCAGTTATAACAGACTGAGTTATTTTCGCAATACATTATTTTTATTTTCTATAATAATATCCTCAGCCTTATTAAAGACGCTCATAAAATATTAGTATTTGAAATAGGACCGCTTACATTAATTAATATATCAAAATATATATATATATAACGCGATGTAATTGCCATTAACAAATCCATATATACTAATTCCATTATTTAATAATTGCTTGATTACTGATATAATATTCATCCATCTGAACATTCTCATCATACATGTAAAAAAGTCACTTCTTTGTTATCTCTACTAAATAATTTTATATGATTTGAATAAGAAAGAATACTTTTAGAAGTATGCAAACGTATGAAAACATTAGTAGAGGAAAATAGTTTGAAGTATCTTTGGCAGACAATGTATGTTGGATTGGATTCGACGTCTTCTTATAAAAACATAAATTATTTTCTATATAATTTTTACAATAGAAAATTTGTTTTCAAAGCAGAGAATTTGTATTTTAAAGCAAAGAATGTGTGTTTTTAAAGCAAACAAATGATGACCAAAACAAGTTCTCTGCTGTAAAAACAAAAATTATATAGAAAATAATTTGTATTTTTGAAGCAATACCCGCGGAAATAATGAAGTCACAACAATTTTGATTCAGCGTGATAAAATAAGTTACATAATTAAACGCAGATCATAAAATAACAGATTTTTAGCCCAATGTCGATCCTTGATTACGTAGCTAATCCTCGTATCTTTGGTCTAAAGAAACTTATTTTCGCACGTCTTTGTCTGATATCATAGAACTTGGAAATTTTGTGATACACTGCAATCTTAATTAGACCAAATACATGAAGATTAACTTGACGAATTAATTGATCGACATTGGCTCAACTTTTGCTAGAAAATCGATTATTTTATGTTCTGCGTTTATTTATGTAACTAATTTTGTTGTAACTTCATTATTTTACTTATTTAATTATTTTACATACTGGCCATATCTTGGCCGAAACGTTTATGTTTATTTATATCAATTTGAGGAATTTTTAAATATGTGACTTTCGCTAACGATTCAGCGTGTGGCTTTTTTGCTCTTTTATTTATATGTATATTGTATATTTAAGCCACGTTTGATAAATTTAAAAGTTATATGGTTTGGAGGAGGACATAAAATGATGCTATTAGTTCGACTTTGAAAAATTGTTTAAAGGTCAATTTCTTAAATAGAATTTCATATATTTTATTGCATATTCTTGTAGTCTATCTCAAAAGCTTTCCAAAACATTATAATTAAGTTCATTTTCATTAATGTTCTTCTTGAGTTATAAGGTTTGCAAGTTGCAGCACCGATAGTTAAAATTTCTTGAATGTTATTCAAGACCATGACTTGGATAACATTTGTCAAGATTAAGGTTTGAAGGTTGTTCCTCTAATTTTCGCACTAAAAATTACATTTCTATGTAAAAATGAAAATAAGAGATACAACCTCCAATAGCCTTGATTTTGACAAATGTTACCTAGTCATGATTACCTAAATCCTGAATAACATTCAAAAGGTTTTAACCATCAATAGAACATCTTGGATAATACTAATGCTGGCGGTACTGTATCTTTGAAATCTTATAATTTAAAAAATACTTAATTAAAAATAATTTCATTATAGTGTTTTGGAAAGCTCTCGAGGCAAGCTATAAGAATATGCAATGAAATATTAATGGGATTTCATTTAAGAAATCGATGACCTCTACGTGACCTTCAAACAACTTTCCAAGGTCAAACCAATAGCACCATCTTATGTCCCTTTCCAAACCATATAACTTTTTTTTCTGACACATTTTTCTCCAAAATGTACTGTTCAAGAGATATTTTAGTGCGTCAATTAAAATAATACATCTGTATATAGAATTTACACTGAATTATTTAAGTATTAAAGATTTAACCGTTATAGACATTTAATTTCTACTTATTGGTTGTGTTCTTACATATACGTACAGTCTAAACATAAAATTCTTATTATTTATAAGTTATATTAGGTCTGTTTACATTATTGCACTTTTTATACTCAGCATCTTTTCTTTCTTTCTTTCTTTTCAAAGCCCAAATATGTGTCTTTCTCATTTTAAAAAAATTATTGAAGATTTCAAGCAGTACAAACAGACTTGTTATCTGACTTTTGACATAGCCTTTGTTGTTACTCTGTATTTACATTACTTCGACACATATTTTACTTGCTCTATTCGTACAATTTGCTCTATTTTTTTTCATTTGAACATTAAAGTCTCTTCAATATAACTTTATAGTGTCAACATCTTTATTTTAATTACTTATTTGATTATTGTTTATCATGATAAAGATTAAATACAAAGCTTTCTTGTCCTTCTAAATTATTAGAGAATAAATTATTTATTATATTACTTAAATTTATTATCTTTATCTTTCCTCTTTGATTATTGTCCTTCGAATATTGCTGTGCAACTAATGAGTTATATTTCATTATTTGTAACACTTTTAAAATTTGTTTTCAATAGACATGGCAATTTGGAACTTTCTTGACGTACCTGTTTTTTGTATGTGAAGGAAGACCATAACATCGTGAGCGTTGATATCAAATTGAAAGGTGTCATTGGCAAAGATGTCATCATAGCCTAGACTACCCTGGATGCTCTGTAGCTTGAAGGCGGGATGCACTGAGAGCAAACCATTTCTATCAAGCTCGATGGAAACTGAAGAGAGCGCAGCGGAACCAGCGACAGGTGACCCAGGGATGGACAGGCTCTCTGACAATCCAATAGACTCCCTAATCTCGCGGTTTGTCAAAGCGCACACGTGATCAGGGCAGAAGTAGCCCAGGTAAATGATCCCGGTCAGCGCAAGGAACAGGCATATCCCGACGATGCTACGTAGACGATTCTTGCGTGGGTGCCGCGATTCCATTCTCGTCGCAGACCTTCCGTCGTATATATTCTCCTTCCCCTCCCCCTCGTCTTCCCTTTCAACCTCCGACGCGACGAGCACTTCCAGCTCGCTAATAGTAGCGTCTATCTCCGCATCGACACCCGTTCGTCTGCCCATTATTATCGTCACCCATGTTTCACGTTGCTTGACACTAGCAACTTCACCAGCTCTTAACGAATTGTTGAGTACAATTGACGTTTACCATCGCACACTGACACGATCCGGCTGTAAATACACTCGAGTATATCGGCCATGACAAAAAAAAATAAAAGTTCGCTTAAAACACTCGACTAGGATTGACAAAAATTTATCCAAGGAATACGACTAGGAACACACTATATTTCAATAGCATAGGTGTAGAGGAATAATTAGAAAATATATTCTACTTTGATAACGATTATCAAACTTATTTAACAAAATTTGTCGCACTTACAGCGCACAGGCAGTCACGGATTACATTTATACAATCAAGAGAGAAACTGAGATGGCTGAAATAGGCCCAGGGGTTCCAAACTTCTAGTACGTTAAACAGGGAACACAGACTCTTAGGGTGAAATCACACAGTGCGGAAAACGACTGCGGAATAGAGAATGCGTCATAGAAGCAACCAATCAGCGTTATTCAGTGTTATTCTGAATAGCGCTAATTGATTGATTCAATGACGCATTCTCTATTCCGCAGTCCTTTTCCACACTATGTGATTTCACCCTTAGGCCGGATTCACACCTTGACGGATAAACGGAAAGCGGAAGCCAATCAGAACTCATAGAAAGACAGAGCAGACAAGCGAAATGTATAGCCTACTGCGAGTTCCGATTGGCTTTCGCTTTTCCGTTTTCCGCTTTTCCGTCAAGGTGTGAACCCGGCCTTAAGCCGGTTCTACATTAGTTGCAAGCTGATCGCAAGTTTGTTGCGACAGCTAATATGAAGAGTTGATTTCAAAATGCAAGTTTCAGATATACATATATCTACTATATTATACATCATGCAAGAGTCTGTCTTTAGTGGCGTCGCCGCTGTATAACAACTAGAGATTCTATAAATCCATGACTGCGTTCTGTTTCAGAGTATTGGGTCATCTAAAAAGTATCCGCGGTTTTTTGTCACTAGATGTGTGTTGATGGTCATATATAAAAACATAACCGCATAAACGTATGCATAACGAAAATTATCCAATCACATTTTACGTGCGTCTTTATAATGGCTTTGGCACATCAGCGCGATATCCAATAAGAGTATATCTTTAGAATGAAAACATCGGTAAAGCTCATTGAATATCGTGTCGCGCGCGACAAACATCATGCTAGTATGCCGGAAGCATAAGAGAAATGCGATTGGAAAATTTTATGCTGCATCGTTTATCTTTGTTGTTCACCAAATATTAAACAAGAATAAATGATGCATTATGTACATTATGCGTGAAATGGAATGCACTCCATATATATTGGGTCATTTAAAAAGTATCCGCAATACTTTGTCACTAGATATATGACCATCAATACCATCTAGTGACAAAAAACCGCGGATACTTTTTAGATGACCCAATATATATGTAGGCTGCATTCTACTTAAAGATTCCGCACAATAAAAAGAACAGAGAACAGAGAACAGAGAATAAGAATTTCAATTTATCAGAAATCATGTATTGTGGAATACATAGTTTCTGATAGATTGACATTCTTATTCTCTGTTCTCTGTTCTCTGTTCTTTTTATACCTCTTAAGAATGCCGTCACATGCGGCGTAATTTGCGCAAGCGTAACTTTCGTTGACCAATCATATCGTTTCACTTGAACATCAGTTTCCGCCTAGTTACTTTATGCTTTTTATTATAGAGGGACGCGTTCAAATTCCCACCCGAATACATTTCAGGTATCATGTAATCTTTATTCTACATTTGGTGAGCAACAAGGATAAAAAGACACCTGAGCAGAGTTGGTTTCATACACATTCTGAAAATTTGATACGTATGATATGTATGAATGCGTATCATACATAGAATACGTATCAAACTTGTACGATACCTTTAACATAACCCTAATCTTTAATTTATTAATCTTATTGACTAAAAAATAATGTTTTTAGTTTTTTGAAATTTTGAAGTATTGAGTCATCTAAAAAGTATCCGCGGTACTTTGTCACTAGATATATGACCATCAACACACATCTAGTGTTTAGATGACCCAATATATTGCTGATTGAGATAACTCCAAAAACTTTTCAGTTTTATTAAAAATGTAATTTGCAAATAAAAAAAGGAAGTAATATTGAAAATGTAAGTGCAGTATATATTGGGTCATCTAAAAAGTATCCGCAGTTTTTTGTCACTAGATATATCTAGTGACAAAGTACCGCGGATACTTTTTAGATGACCCAATACATGAATTTGGTATAATAATATTGGTACAATAATATTAATAATTCGTTATAATTTTTACTCTTATTAGTGTGAATTTAATTTGAAAGTAAATATTGAGAAATCGTTTTAACGATACGCTATCGCTGACCACAGATAGCGCTTCTACCACCGGGATGTTCATCTTTTGTATGCATGATAAAAACAATAACAGTTCGAGCCTTCCCTGCGTCGCGATCCCTCCTCAACAGGTTATGGGCCCAGGCAACGATTCGCAATAAGTGTTCATATTAAAGTGAAAAAGTGAGTGAGATTCTCAGTGATCAAGTGCATCAAAAAAAACGACACTCACAATGAATGTGTCCGCTGTGAGCCGTATTGAAACGCTCAATAAAGACAATTACGACACCTGGAAAATGCAGATGCAAGCAATATTGGTGAAGACCAACGCATGGAAATACGTGAATGGAACCGACGTGAAAACGGAACTAGTTGCCGACGACGATGGGATATCTGCCCAAGCTCGTGCGGAATGGGACGACAACGATAGTAAGGCAATGTCAGATCTCATCCTTTCAATTCACCCGAGCGAATTGAAGCAGATCAAAGGCTGCACATCATCTCGAGAAATTTGGCTGAGATTGGAAGGGATATATCAATCCAAGGGTCCTGCCCGAAAAGCAACGCTGCTGAAACGTCTCGCATTACAAAAAATGGCGGACGGGGAAGACGTGCGCGAACATATTCGTACATTCTTCGACGCAGTGGATAAACTGACCGAAATGGAAGTGATCATAAATCCCGATCTGCTCGCGATTTTATTATTATACAGTCTACCGTCACAATATGAAAACTTCCGATGTGCCATCGAGTCGCGCGATGAATTACCTACACCGGAAGCATTACGAATTAAAATAATTGAAAAGAGCGACGTCCGAAAAAAGGACAACATTCTTGTGCAAAATGCTATGGCGATCAAGCCTTACGCAAATAAAAATTGGAAGAACAAAAAGAAGGCGACATCGAAAAACGAGGACAAAGAAAAATCTAAGCTTAAATGCCACAGTTGCGGAAAAATTGGGCACAAGGCGGCCGACTGCTGGTATCGAGACAAACAATTAGCCAAAACGGCCGAAGATATAGGATTCTTTACGACACTCGCGACGAAGCCGCTCGAAACGGACGAAGCGCACGAGGCGCGCCGAAGACTC